TGATCTGTTGATTTGTAGCTCCCCTCGGGTGATGAAACCCAGATGCACAAGCATTGCTGCTGCTGCTGCTTGGCGAAATAATAACACAAGTCCCACACATGAAGAGTCAAGACAGGCCAGGGCGAAGATCCAAATCCCCAGAGGAGTTTATTGGTGACAGTAAAAATGTGATGGGATCCATAACACTTGGTAGTCACTAAAACTGTTGTGCTTGAATGTTTATAATGACAGTATAGAGAAATATGACCCTGTTTCTGGCTTGGTGTCCAACGTGGTGTTTTTTAGTCTTTGAATAAGGCATTTGTTTTGCATGAACCCCCCCTTCCTCATGGTCATGGTTCGTGGTCATGTTTATCTGGCCTTTAGCTGAGAAAATGTTCCTAGATAAGCATGTGGAAACTCAACTGGTCCATTGTGTACTGAAGTTATTGTAAAATAATATGGTGTAGGCACACTATAAAGGGGCATGCAGCCAATTGAATAAAAAATAAAATGGTCAGGTATGTAGTCATATTTGCTATAGATAGATATAGATAGATAGATAGATAGATAGATAGATAGATAGATAGATAGATAGATAGATAGATAGATAGATGGATGGATGGATGGATGGATGGATGGATGGATGGATGGATGGATGGATGGATGGATGGATGGATGGATGGATGGATGGATGGATGGATGGATGGATGGATGGATAGATGGATAGATGGATAAATGGATGGGCTGGTGGATGGACAGATAAGCTTGATTGAAAGTTGGAGTCATAGTCTGATAAACAGTAGTCAACATTGAAGTGGATCAAAGCTTTCATCAAAGTTGTCCTAAAATCAAAATCAACACCCTTTCTTGTCTTTGACAACTTTGATAAACTGTTTTGATCCATTTCAAATGTTGACTGCTGTACTTGAATCAGATACACAGTCAGATAGACAGTCAAATAGTTACAAAAACACTCGGATAGACTGCAATGAAGAGTTGGATAGATGCATATTTGATAGATAGATTGTTGCATAGTTTGATAGAGAGTCGAGTAGACAGAAGAATTGTTGGTAAGATAGTCGTATTGATGAATATAGGTGTCGGACGGGTGGATGAATGCATGAACTCAGCAAGCATTTTTTGTTTTTAAAAGATGTCTAATAGACGTCTAATGGACGTCTAAACATATTTGTCTTGGCTAAAACAAGGCTAAATTTGGGCTGTCAGTGATAATCTAGGTCTAACAATAGGCCAAAACTAGACTAGTCATCAAATAAACAGAAATGAAAGATTACGCAAATAAAGTCTTATCTACATTTAGATGTATATTAGATGTCTATTAAACACAAAATTGTTTGCTGGGAAGAGTTTAATAGATAGGTTATCTGATAATTAGGTAGACAGTCTAGCCAAAATCAAGGATAGTCAGATCTATAATATGATAATTGGATGGGTAGGTAAATGGAAAGACTTACTTTTGGCTAGATGAACTGGTAGGTAAATTGACAAATAGTATATCTGATATGTAAATAATGAAGATATAAAGGTATTTTAAATATAAATTTATAACTGGATGTGTGTTTTCAGTTTTAGAAACTACAATATATTTTATGTTAATGTGGACAGTGACACCTGTTTCTTCTGGGTTTTAACAGCATATTGGTAACTGTGCCTGTAGGGGGCGCTCTTGCACATTCAATATCTTGTTAAACAGCAGCAGCTGTCATCATTCATAGTGTTCATAGGTCATAGTGGTTGTATACAACAAGCCGCTTACCATGAATTATTATTATTATTATTATTTTGTATTGCGTGGTATGTCATTGTTGGTCCGGGAACAACATTTTTTTGTCAACCAGGTTTAGCGATTTGCCTTGGGCTGGATCTAGGCTTAAGCAACATTCTTATCAATCTGACATTTCCCTTTTTGGGAAGCGTGTGGTTGAGGTTATGATTAGAGTATTGACAAAAAAAGAAACAGTCTAGGTGTTACCTGGCAAGTTACTTTATGTACTTAGGAATTATCCGACGGCATGAGACTCGTCCAGAGGCTCCAGGTAAGAGTGATTGGAATGTGATTTCGGGCCACAGCTGACTAAAACCAAAGGGGAGGCAGAGTCAGAAGGCAAGATAAATGTCAGCTGTCTCATTGACTGATAAGCTTCACTGACAACATTCCTCGGAAAAAAGAGAAAACGCAAGGGAATTTGACACATAACAGTGACGAAAACAAGGAACTAGTGTGCTGCCTGCCAGAACGGGTCCTACACTGTTTTCTGGTCACCCTAGTGATGTTTGATCTGCTGTAAAACCTTGAGATGGCCACCTTTCTGAACATTTAACACAATAAAAATTCTGACAACATCTATCTCATCCTCATGTTGCAAAATTAAGATATTTCTTGGTTTATTACAAATACAGTTGGATATAGGCAGTTAGAAACAGCAGTGAAAATAAGTATCGAACACGTACTGTGAATAGTATTTTGTAAAAAGCTGTTGACATGAAATTAAACCAGATTTTGATAAAAAAAAAACACTTTACATACATAAAAATAAAACAAAAAAAATCTGAAAATTTTCTTGTGTAAAAACAATAAAATGACACAAGGAGAAAGTACTGAACTACTGAAACATATTCAATATAAAAGGCTTTTTGGTGATGGCTTTTTTGGCATCTTAAAGTGGCCTTTTATATGGAGAATGAAGTCACATGAATTGCTCAGGTGTGATTTTTTTTTTTTTCACAGACTTCAACAGAGCATAAAAACGAACGTAAGTGAAAATCTCTGGGGGCCCCCAAAATGCATGGGCCCTTAGAATCTTCCTAACTTTCCCCCCTTTAGCAGCGACTCTGCCTACACCTCCCCCTACCCTAAACCCTACCATCTCAGTGGCATGGGCGTTACCTTAGTGGGCGGTACAAGGTCCACTACATAGTTGCCAATTGCCTATTTCATCAAGCTGCGGGCTGCAGCGAGTACACCTTGAATATTTTCCCCGCTGTTGTTTGATAGATAGTATAGTTTCATAGATACAGTATACAGCAGAGACAGTGCATCCGGAAAGTGTTCATAACGCTTCACTTTTTCCACATTTTCTTATGTTACAGCCTTATTCCAAAATGGATTAAATTAATTAATTTCCTCAAAATTATACACATAAAACTGCATAATGACAATGTGAAAAAAAGATTTTTTAAATTGTTGCAAATTTATCAAAAATAAAAAACCTGAAAAATAACATCCTTTGCCGTGAAGCTCTAAATTGAGCAGAATTTTATTCAGGATGTCTCTGAACATTGCTGCATGCATCTTTCGCTCTATCCTGACTAGTCTTTCAGTTCCTGCAGCTGAAAAACATCCCACAGCATGATGCTGCCACCACCATGCTTCACTCTAGGGATGGTATTAGCCTGGTGATAAGCAGTGACTGTTGTCTCCAATCGTAACGCCTGGCATTCACTTCAAAAAGTTCAATTTTAGTCTCATCAGACCAAAGAATTTTGTTTTTTATGGTGTGAGTGTCCTTCAGATGTCTTTTGGCAAATTCCAGGCAGGGAGTGGCTTCCGTCTGGCCATTCTACCATTCAGGCCTGATTGGTGGATTGCTTTACAGAATGGATAGATCTTTAGATACAGAATGCTAGAGAGAGTCAAATAGATTTGGGCAGACTGTTAAATTGACACTAATATAACTGGATAGATGGTTAAATTGTTGGATAAATAGGTTGTTGGGCTAAATAGATACATATTATCTATAATATAATAGATGGTTCTATACATAGATTATTGGATAGATACATTAACAGTCCATGGTTACATATTTGGGCAGATGCATTGATTGATGAATGGATATGTCACTGGATACATAGTTGGGTAGATAATTGAATAGTTACATTGAGTGTTCTGACTGATAAATTGATGATTTAATGGATTTATTGTTGGACAGATTGTTAGATAGAATCATAAACAGTCAGAGATACATATTTGATCGACAGAT